AGCGCATCCACCATAGACTTTGCATGTAAACCTGATGCTCCTGATGCTGAAATCGCGTTCGGTGTGAACGCACCATCAGATTAACTCGTTTTGTTGCTGTTTCTTTAAATCCAAACGAGCCGCTTCACACCCGCCCCCCTCCAGTTTTCAGAGCTGCCTACGTTAGCTTGATAGAGGGGGTTTACAACTAGCAGTGCAGAAATTGTTTAATTACAAACGAATTAAAAGACGTCAACAACGGAAGACTTGTCTATCCAGTCTAATGTTGGAGCCAGAGTCTGACCCAGAGCCAGAGGAGAATGAAGACCACCAAGTTATAGTTGGGAAGTCCAAACCTTATTTGGCAGTGCCGCCACAATTTRATGTAACAGTTCAGAAAACTTCATAGAAAATAGAAAAAAAAAATCTGAACAGGTTGAAAAATATGAGACAAAATGAATATAATGAAATACAGCACCAGGAGAGAGAGTAAACCTTTCTGTAAAGCTTTCATTTTATATTTGCCCCTCTGTGTCTTTAGGCCCAYCGTTGGAAGGTCAACTGGGACCACAAAGGAATATATTTGATAAGAAACAAATAAAAGTCATGAATTATTAGTATTAGGAAGCTCTGTGTGCCAAAAACCCATTCTGCACTCCTCTGCATCAGGCAGGTTGCCTCAGTGGACTCATGCTGTTGATGCCAGATTGTGAGCYGATCATCTGCAGCCTCAGCAGAAATGAAGATTCATCAGACATTTTTCTTTCTTTTCTTTCATTTTTTTGGGCTCCAGTCCTTTAAAAAAAGCCCATTTTTCTTTGTGAGCCTACACCTGCTGCAGCTTCATCACAGCTCTAACCTGACATGGTTCTCAGCTGCTGATAACCAGTTCAAGACTGGGACGTGTGGTGCATTCTGAGGCGCTTTCCTCCTCACCACAGCTGCAGGGAACTGGTTCTCCTTTTTCCACCATTCAGTCTGAACCGCCACYCTCTGAAACCTTCATTTGTCCTTAACTCCATGTCTGTGAAGACCTTTCATCAGTTTGTTGGTGATTAGCTGGTGTTTAACAGCTCAGCGCGCTATTAGAGCTGTTAAAAACTGAGTCCTAAGTTTTTAAACACAAAGAGGGGAAAAACAGAAACTCAGCTCTGCGAGGTGGAGCTAATTAAACTCTCTGCTAATGAATTAGCCAATTAGCTAAAACGGAATTTCACCGATAATTCCGGTGTTTAATGACACGTGAACACAGAGACACACACATAAGTGGAAATATTCACCCCGTGAAGTCTCGACGGCTGAGAAATTAAACAAGCGACACACCGGAGAGCCTCACTTATAAAAATAAAATAAATAAAAAAGAGGAAACCAGCGCGACAAGTGTCTCCCAGGTGCRGCGCGAGACCGAGACGAGGCTGTGAGCGGAGCGCGCGGCGAGGCGCGTGCAACGTCTCTGTGGCTCACACCTGGAGCGTTTCCACCGCAACGGAGTGCGCGGGAAACACGATCTCCCGCCGCAGCCTGAGAGAAGTGTTTCTGTTTCCACACTGAAAACACGTTTATACCATGTGGACTGCACCGTCTCCGCGAAGCTCCCTGATGATTTATTTTGTCTTATTGTAGAAATAAAATTAAAACAGTATCTGACCTCTGTTGTCACCATGATCACGTCTCTGATTTGCTGGTTTTACTACAAAACACGATATGGCACCAACATCAACCCGGTTATAAAATAACCTCTTAATGAACTAAACGCACAAAACGCATTTCCAGTTCGCCAGGTTTGGTTTTTAGTTAGCTTTTCTAAACCAAGCAGACAGATACAGGTAGCTATACATGTGGAAACCTGTGTGTGTGTGTGTGTGTGTGTGTGTGTGTGTGTGTGTGTGTGTGTGTGTGTGTATGCGCGCGCGAGAAACAACCAGCATGTGAATTCTGATTCAGAAGCAGATGTGATCAGTAAAACCGGAAGATGTCTCGTGACACTTTAAGTCAAATAAAGTCAGGGCAAAGATAAATTGTTTATTTTTTTTTAACGGCCTGAAGCACATTAATGCTATTTTTTAAATATTTCATTTGATGTGCGCCCCTTTTAATCTGAACAAAAATGTAAAAAAAGAAATAAAAACATAAAAGTAGCCTACTGATTTTATTTTATTTTATTTTTTTGTTAAGAGTAAAGACTGCACAAACCTGCGCGTGTCGCGCACCGCACGTGCTGGAACGGCTCGTGTTTTAACTCACCTCTGTGCATTTCCTTTGTGTGTGTGTGTGATTCCAAAGCGCCTCTCTAAAGATGCCCCCCCATCCTGTCCGCTGCAGACGGATCCACAAAGCTTTTTCTCCCCTCTTAAATCCAACTTCCCAGCAKCAGTAAATCCATTGCGCAGAGGCGCGCCGCTGGCAGCGATCAGCTCCGGCTCCGAGCCCCCCCCCACCCACGATCTGTCTCCGTTTTGAACGCTACAGATGCTCGCTACTGAGAGCCTTTGAGCCAGGCATGATGCTCAGACCGAGAGTAGCCTCCGAGCTGGAGCACGCTGCTGAAGCAGGAGGAGGTGTGGGGCAGCTGGAGCGATGCGCGCGGAGACGCGGCTGTCCAAAGAGCGCAGGAGGATGGATGGATGAGGAGGAGGGGAGGAGGAGGAGGAAGAGGAGGAGAGACAACCTGGACTGTCTCCTAACCACATCTGAACTGAGGAGCTCTGCCGAACGAGGCTCATTTAAGCCTTGGCTGTTGCTCACATCAATCAGTAACATCGTCGAGTTAAACACACGAGAGGGGGGGGCCACGTTTCCGGATCAGACATATTTTATTTTTTTTATTATTATCTTAACAAAACAGCGAGAGCCTCCAAATTTAAATAGAGAGACTTCAGTAATAGAAAATACACCCATTTTCCCTAAAAAACAACTGCATAAAACAAAGAATTTAAGATTACAACCTTTGTTTTTAATTAACCGTACTTAGCATACATGACACAAAATAATTTAATTATTCATTATAATAAACTGCAAAAAAGATCCAATGTTAAAGTCCAGTCCTTTTGCTTTTAAACTGGTTTTTGGTGTTTTACACCATGCTTTTATTTTGTAGGTATTTCCGGTTATTTGGCAGCTTCTTTTTGGCAGCTTCTAACATTTTGTAACCCATCTACTGCTCTCTCTCTCTCTCTCTCTC